GTTATTTGAGTTTTAATATATAAATTTTATAAGAAAGTGTTGATATCCTTTTAAGTCAGTGTGAAGAAGTGTATATTAGTATGAATGTATCTAGCACAAAGAAAAGGTCTTGTATCTGTTGTATTCTGGCCCCATTCCTGTGGATTCCAGTCCCATTCCTGAGGATTCCTGTGGATTCCTGCGGATTCCGGTCCCATTCCTGAGGATTCCTGCGGATTCCGGTCCCATTCCTGAGGATTCCTGTGGATTCCTGAGGATTCCTGCGGATTCCTGCAGGAATGGGTGGGGCACTGTAAAGTACTGGTTAGGTCCGGTTATTTTCCGGTTATTTTCCGGTTAACTAACCTAACTTTCAAACACTAGCTACCTTCAAAATCAAAGGTAGCCTGCAAGGGAAGTACATCATTTTCGGATACTTCCGAAAACTCAACGTCAACTTCTGCTTGCTAAGTACAAGCTCTGTTGTCATCATCTTGGTCAATCCAAACATGACACAGAGCATTCTGTGATGCCACATCCATAGTGTTGTCATAGTCTTGGTTAATCCAAACACAACACAGAGCATTCTGTGATGCCACATTAGCATTGTCATCATCTTGGTCAATCCAAATGCAACACACATAATGCCACATCCAAAGCAGGTGGTCTGCTGTGCGCTTTGCTGTCTTGCACTCTTTGTCATCTTGGCCAGTCCAAATGATTTGTGCAATGTATCTATCTACCACATCTTGTCTGTTTTCTTTGCATGCTCATTGTTGTCTTGGCCAGTCCAAACAATTCAAGTGCCACGTCAAAGCAAGTCTCTTCATAAACTCAAAGAACATGTAATCAGGCAGTGGTCTATATATGGTGATACCATCAAAACAGATCAGAACGCATAGATTAAAGTTTTAGATCTCAGTTATCGGATCTTATTCTTTTGACACATCACAGATTCCTATGACACACGAAACTTTCCCCCATCAAATGATCGGGAAATGTTCGTGCGTCATCATTTTTCTAACCTGCTCATGTGGCTGTGTGTAATTCAGTTTATTGGTGGAATGGTACATTGCTGTCTTGGCTAGTCCAAACACAATGAAAGTTCTCTGTCAATACCCCTTCGATTTTCATGATCTTGAACTCGTTCAGATAGTCCCACACTCCGTGAAGATGCTCCCCAAAACCGTTTACGAAACGGTTGAGGTCTCGTGGAGCTAGGTCAGTTTCCATTTTCGCTCTTTTGCCCTCATCAGTAGAATCACAAAACCGCTTTCAGCTGCTTTCACAGGCTTATGCTCACAACTCCCCAGGACCTTAATCTGCTCCGTTTCCTGTTGTCGAGGGCTCGTTCGGATAGCCCCACGCTCCGTGAAGACGTTCCCCAAAACCGTTTACGAAATGGCCAAGGTCTCGTAGAGCTAGGTCAGTTTCCATTTTCGCTCTTTTGCCCTGTGCTCACAACTCCCCAGGACCTCAATCTGCTCCGTTTTCTGTGGTCGAGGGCTCGTTCGGATACCCCCACACTCCGTGAAGACACTCTCTCAAAACCATTTACGAAACGGTCAAGGTCTCATGGAGCTAGGTGAGTTTGCATTTTCGTTCTTTTGCCCTTATGCTCACAACTGCCCAGGACCTCAATCTGCTTCGTTTTCTGTGGTCGAGGGCTCGTTCCGATACCCCCACGCTCCGTGAAGACGCTCCCCAAAACCGTTTACGAAACGGTCAAGGACTCATGGAGCTAGGTGAGTTTGCATTTTTGTTCTTTTGCCCTTATGCTCACAACTGCCCAGGACCTCAATCTGCTTCGTTTTCTGTGGTCGAGGGCTCGTTCGGATAGCCCCACACTCCGTGAAGATTCTCCCCAAAACGGCTTATAAAACAGTTAAGGTCTCGCGGAGCTAGGTGAGTTTAAATTTTCGCTCTTTTGCCCTTATGCTCACAACTCCCCAGGACCTTAATTTGCTCTGTTTTCTGTGGTCGAGGGCTTGTTCGGATACCCCCACACTCCGTGAAGACGCTCCCCAAACCGTTTACAAAATGGTCGAGGTCTCGTGGAGCTAGGTGAGTTTGCATTTTCGTTCTTTTGCCCTTATGCTCACAACTCCCCAGGACCTCAATCTGCTTCGTTTTCTGTGGTCGAGGGCTCGTTCGGATAGCCCCACGCTCCGTGAAGACGCTCCCCAAAACCATTTACGAAACGGTCAAGGTCTCGTGGAGCTAGGTCAGTTTGCATTTTCGTTCTTTTGCCCTTATGCTTACAACTCCCCAGGACCTCAATCTGCTCCATTCTCTGTGGTCAAGGGCTCGTTCACATAGCCCCACACTCCGTGAAGATGCTCCCCAAAACTGCTTATAAAATGGTTAAGGTCTCATGGAGCTAGGTAAGTTTGTATTTTTGCTCTTTTGCCCTCATGCTCATAACTCCTTAGTACCTCAATCTGGTCCGTTTTCTGTGGTCCCAGGCTTGTTCGGATACCCCCATACTCCATGAATATGCCCCTTAAAGCTGTTTAAAAAACAGTTGACACCTTGTGAAGCTAGGTGAGTTTATATTTTCGCTCTTTTGCCCTTGTGCTCACAACTCCTCAGCACCTGATTCTGCTTCATTTTCCATGGTTCTGGACTCATTTGGATACCTCCACACCCCCTGAAGAGACTCCCCAAAACTGCCTATGAACTAGTTGAGCACTCTTGGATGTATGTTAAGTTCTATTTTTGTCTTTTTGTGCTCATACCCACCAACTGCCCAGGACCTTCTCATGTAGTGTTTGAAAGTCCAGTTAGGTCCGGTTATTGGGTGCCCAGGGGCTCTAACCGAGACCGAGACCAGTTAGCCTTTGTCCCGAAACCTAAAATAACCTAACCAGACCGCAACTAACCAGTTACGGTCGGTTATTTGCAGTTACTAACTGGTTAGGACCGAAAAATAAAGAATCGGTCATAACAAGGCAAATATGCTCATATGTATCTTGATAGATATTATGTCTGCATATTCTAGCTCTAAAACGAGCCCAAGAACGCTAAAATCGGTGAAGAATTGACATATTTATGCAATTATCCTTGAAAGTCTACACATTTGAGTGATATTTTAGAGATTTGACTGTAACTTAGTCAAATTTTAAGTGTTTTCAACGTTCTCAAGTGCGTTTTGAAGGTGTATAATAGGGCTGGTTATAACCGGTTATTTAACGGTTAGTTAACCGCAAAATAACTGGTTATTCCATTTTCGAAATCAACTAACCCTAACCGTGGTTAGGTTAGTGTTGCGGTTAGGTCCGGTTATTTTCTGGTTATTTTCCGGTTAACTAACCTAACTTTCAAACACTATTCTCATGGCTCATTTTGCATAGCCTTGGGCTCATTAGGATACCCACACACTCCCTAAAAATATGCCACAAAAGTTGTCATGACCTTAATTGTTATATCTTTAATGTAAAGAAGTATAGTTATATAAATGTGAAAATGGAGGCAATATATTCATATGTTAGAGTCTGACAGCCAAGTAGAGCAATACATTAGCTACCACCTACATCAATGACAACATGGATAGGACTAAAAGCAGGTGATAACTAAGAAATAGTAGAGCAGACTGGCAAAGTCGTCAATGTTGAGCAGGCAGCTGATCGTGGGAAGAAATCACTTTTGTGGGAGAAAGTCAAATTTCAGCGTTACCACGCTGAAAAAAACCTTGAATCAAGGGGAAATAAACGAGTCTCTTCATAAACTCAGAGGACTCGTAACATTTTGCAATTGATTCAAAACCACCAAGCCATGCATTGAGTTGTTCACAGACCTGTCATTATCTAGTAACTG